TATATATATATATATATATATAAATATATATATATATATATATTTATATTTATATATTATATATAATATACATACATACATATATATATATATATATAATATATATATATATATATATATATATATATATATTATATTATATATAGAGAGAGAGAGAGAGAGAGAGAGAGAGAGAAGAGAGAGAGAGAGAGAGAGAGAGAGAGAGAAGAGAGAGAGAGAGAGAGAGAGAGAGAGAGATTGATGGACTGGTAGATAGGTGGATAGATAGGTAGATAGATTAGACAGATAGATAAACAGACAGACAGACAAACAAAGCATGATCATTGCCTATAATTTTTCATTAGTATTACCTTTCCGAAATATAACCATCATATCCTCATATCATGTTACAAGCTTTGCTTTTCCATAACACAAGCATTATAACTTTATTTCTTTATGTGTTTCACATCTGCAGCATCCCCATACATATATATAATATATATATATATATATATATATATATATATATATTATATATATATATATATATGTATATATATTTTTTCTTTCTTTCTCTCTTTCTTTTTATTTCTCTCTTTCTTTCTTTCTTTTTTTCAACCACTTTTATATCCATATGTATTTTCTCGCAAAGTTTTACCTTTTTCGTAACATCAGTATTAGGACCTTATATTTTTCTAATTAAAGGTTTGTTTTTCTTTAATACAATAAATCCTTTTTTCTCAAAGTATTGTATATTCCGTAACAAAATAAATCCTTTTTATAATCACTGCCACACTGTAACATCACCATCACATCTTCACATAAATCTACGAGACACTGCCCTTTCCTAACATCATATTTACATCCTTATGTCCTTTTCCATAAGGATTACAGTTTCGCAACATCATCATTCAATTCCCTGCCACTTCCTAACATCATATTTACATCCTTATGTCCTTTTCCATAAGGACTACCTTCTCGCACCATCATCACCATTCAATTCCCTTGTATTTTTCCACAAGGATTACCTTCTCGCAACATCACCATTAAATCCCACTCCTACAGGGGATTACCTCTTCGTGGCATCACTCCATAACACTTTCTCAAACCCCCCTGGCACCCTGGGGCAGAGCACATGGCACCGTCACGTCTTAGAGGGAGCGCGAGCGTGGCACCGCAGCGTCTATGTCACGCCCATCCCACTGGCCATAACCTGGATGGAACGGAGGGCCATAACCGTGCCGATGCCCAGCTCTTGTCACGGGCACTCGGGTAGTATGGCACTTAGGGGGTTGCCATTCGTCTTTTTTACTTTTATTTTTTATTTTTGGTATGTGTTTTTATTTCAATTTCGTTTGGTATTTTTTAGAGGTTTTCATTTTGTCTCGTTTGTCGTATTTTTTATGTTTTCGTGTTTAATTTGGTTCGTCTCGACTCACTTGATTTGCATGATGTTGGGAGTTGTTGTTGTGTTGCGTTATACCCTAACTGGCAACTCCCGAGCCTCCCGAGTGAAGGATTATTGCTCCACCTCTCTCTCTTCTTTTCTCTTCTCCCCTCTCTCTCTCTCTCTCTCTCTCTCTCTCTCTCTCCTCTCTCTCTCTCCTCTTTCTCTCTCTCTCTCTCTCTCTCTCTCTCTCTCTCTCTTTCTCTTTCTCTTTCTCTTTCTCTCTCTTTCTCTTTCTCTTTCTCTTTCTCTCTTTCTCTTTCTCTTTCTCTTTTCTCTTCTCTCTCTTTCTCTCTTTCTCTTTTCTCTTTCTCTCTTTTCTCTTCTCTCTTTTCTCTCTTTCTCTCTTTCTTTCTTTCTTTCTTTCTTTCTTTTTTTCTTTCTTTCTTTCTTTCTTTCTTTTCTTCCTTCATTCCTTCTTTCTCTTTTCCTTTGTGTGTGTGTTTGCGTATGTGTGTGCGTGTGCGTGTGCGTGTTCGTGTGCGTGTGCGTGTGCGTGTACGTGTGCGTGTGCGTGTACGTGTGCGTGTGCGTGTACGTGTTCGTGTGCGTTAGCGAGTGCGTGTACGTGCCTGCTTGTGTACGTGCGCATGTCCTTGTCTTCACTCACGACCTCCAACCTTTCCTCGTTGTTTCTTGGCGTATTTATTCCATTTATTTATTCTATTATTCCTATTCCAGCAAGAGCTCCGTCAATAACAACGGCGGCGTGGTCGCGCTGGAAACGACGACCGTGACTACACAAATAAAGCCTTTATAACCTCTGACATTAGGTTCAGATTCAAATTGCCTGAAGATGAAGTGCAACTACGCGTATTTATGAGAACGTATTTGCTTCTTTACATACATGAACGTCCGTGTATGTGAAGATGTGGGTAAGAAAGTGAGATACAAATAAATGAAAAATTAAATAAACAAATAAATGAATAAAGCGCCGATGTGTAAATGGGAATGTACGGGAGATATTGAATAAATGAATAAATAAATGAATAAGTTTCTGAATAAACACACATCCGTCCGGACGAGCACACATATTCATGGAAAAAAAAGAATGAATCCGCACAAATAAAGACTAAAAATAAATCAGAGTAAGCGAGCAAAACGTCGAATAAACAAGAGACAGAACGAGAAGAAAGAAGAACGAACGAATGAATGAAATTATGACTAAAAAAAAAAAAAAGAAAAAAAAAATTATGACTAAAAAAAGTTATGAAATTATGACAAAAAAAAAAAAAAAAAAAAAAAAAGATTGTACACTTGAGCGAGCAGGACCGCGTGTGTGTATCATGAACCAGACATGAATGGGAACCACGTCTGCTCAGCGATAAGGAGACCAAAGGACACGGGGCTGATAAGCATGGAATAACGCAAACCGGAAATAGCGGATAACAGAAAATAGACTAAACGAAGGAAAAAAGACGGAAATAATTATGAGATTAAAAGGAGAATGAAGATTATAAGGAAGAGAATATTACCGAGAGAATATAAATTGTAAAATAAAAATGGTAAACCTCACGTTGTTCATGTCATATCATTATCTGCATTGCCAATAATCATTTAATTCTAAACAGCTGTTATATTAGCGTATTTTGCACTGTTGATTCATCATAAGAAAATGACGACGGTGATGATTATAATAATAATGGTGATGGTGGTGATGTTAGTGATAATCGTAAAAATGATGGTGATATTGACGGTGATGGTGATAATGGTGATGGTGATGATGATGATTCTCACTATAATATTGATATCATTATTATCGTCACCGTCATCATTAGGATGGTTGTTATGATTACTCTATTGTTTTCTTATCATAGTTAAAACCATCATTATCAATATTATAGTTCATTTATCACAACATCTTCATTCTTCGTTTTTGTATTTGCCGCGATAATCGTTACAATTACAGACCATAGTATGATAAAAAAAGACAACAAAAAAAAAAAAAAACACTGATACTTATATTTCTGCTTTCTTTCCATCCTTTCAATCTTTCCCAAAATTTCCATGCTCTATCTTTTCCCTTCTGTTACTTTATCATTTTCCTTAAGTCTCCCCTTCCCTCTCCTCCTTCCTCACCAGACCTCCCACACCCTATCTTTATTCTTCTGTTATTTCTATTATCCTTTTCCTTAATCTCCTCTTCCCCACGTCTCTTTCTCGCCTTATATTCCCCTCCTTAATATTCTGTTATTTTATCCGTTTTCTTCAGTCTACCCTTCCTCCTCTTCGCTGTCTCCTTATTTTCCTCTCCAGAACATCCATACTTTATCTTTATTCTCTTATTTCCTTTATTTATCCTTTTCCTTAGTTCCCCCTCCTTCCATTTCCTCCCCACCGGCTTACCTCCCGCCCTATTTTCCTCTCCAGAACTTCCAAGCTTCATTTTTGTTTCTCCTGTTTCCTCTTTTTATTCTTTTTCCTTAGTCCCCCCTCCTCCGCACCTCCTTCCTCTCCTTTCATACATCTTTATTCTCCTGTTTCCTTTTTTGTCTTCCTTTTTTATCCTTTTTCTTTAGTCCCCCCCCCCCTCCTCCGTACCTCCTTCCTCTCCTTTCATACATCTTTATTCTCCTGCTTCCCTTTTTATCCTTTTTTCCTTAGTTCCCCCTCCTCCGCACCTCCTTCCTCTCCAGAACTTCCATACTTCATCTTTATTTTGTTTCCTTTTTATCCTTTTCCTTAGTCCCCCCTCTCCCCCACCGTCCTTCTCCAGAACTTCCATACTTCATCTTTATTCTCCTGTTTCCTTTTCTTATCCTTTTACTTAGCCCCCCCCCCCCTTCTTCCTCTCCAGAACTTCCATACTTCATCTTCATTCTCCTATTTCCCTTTTTATCCTTTTTCATTAGCCACCCTTTCCCCCCCCACCTCCCCCCTCCCCACCGCCCCCCCTTCCACATTATAGGGTGCCGGCGCCCAGGGACACGACCCGGTCCCTCTGAAGGTAAGGGAAGGGCCGTTATAACGAGGCACTCAATGACCGTACTCAGGACCTAATAGCAGGGCACGCCGTAGGCCTACGAGAGGGTGAGTTGGGGGGGGGACGAGGGGAAGGGGGCGGGGGGGGTAAACGAGGTCGAGCTGCGACCGCGTTGAGGGGACATTGTCATTCATAGCGCGGTCCTCGCCGAAGGGAGGGCGTGGGAAGGTAATGCTATATTTACGATAGACATACAGGCGCACGCACACCACAAAATATGCTTCTGTACATGTGTATATGTACAGATATACATATATATATATATATATATATAATATATATATATATATTATATATATATATACATATTATATATATATATATATATATATATATATATATATATATATATGTGTGTATATATTATGTATATGTGTGTGTGATTGTGTGTGTGTGTGTGGTGTGTGTGTGTGTGTGTGGTATATATATATATATGTATACACACACACACACGTGTGTGTATATATGTTATATATATATATATATATATACATATATATACATACACATGTGTACATATGTGTATGTATATATATGTATATGTGCATGTGCGTTGTACATGTGCGTGTGCGTGGCGCGTGGGCACCATACCTGACCGGTGGCACTCGCTGGCGCCTCCGGAAGCTGGTCCTCAGGGCGATGTTGGTCATTGTCCTCTCCAGGCGCCTCATCTTGCCTTCCAACATCCTCCGAAGCGGACTCATCCACATAAAGTCAACATTTCATCCCATTTCGTCTGAATGGGTACGATTAGACTCATCCACATGACTTAAAAGATTCAACCGGTAAACTATTTCACATTAAACTCATCCGCATAAATGAAATGACTGAACCATTATTTTCCACATTAAACTCATCCACATAACTCGAATGATCAAACTACTAAACTGTTCCGCATTAAACTCATCCACATTATCAACCTCATCCACATCTCAACCTCATCCACATAAACACTTCACTCCATCCCCCTCCCCCCCCGTAACACATACGACCACCACATCCACGAGATCACCAAACAACATGCTCCTTGAACGACAGCCTGGGAGCGACACTGAAGAAAATCAAAATGCCTTACACATTCACAGATAAGATTACAAGAAGCCAGGCTTATCAGTGAGCACCTCCCTATCTTTGCAATCATTGTCGAAAGGGTCGCCTTACCTCAACAGATAAGGCTTTTGTTTTGAACATTTGAACATTTACCCTAAGGCTTTTGTTTTGAACATTTAAGGCTTTTGTTTTGAACTTTTACCCCTAAGGCTTTAACATTTGAACATTTACCCTAAGGCTTTTGTTTTTTTTTTGAACATTTACCCTAAGGCTTTTGTTTTGAACATTTGAACATTTACCCTAAGGCTTTTGTTTTGAACATTTGAACATTTACCCTAAGGCTTTTGTTTTGAACATTTACCCTAAGGCTTTTGTTTTGAACATTTACCCTAAGGCTTTTGTTTTGAACATTTACCCTAAGGCTTTTGTTTTGAACATTTTAAGGCTTTTGTTTTGAACATTTACCCTAAGGCTTTTTGTTTGAACATTTACCCTAGGCTTTTGTTTTGAACATTTACCCTTTGTTTGAACATTTGAACTTTAAAGGCTTTGTTTTGAACATTTACCCTAAGGCTTTTGTTTGAACATTTGAACATTTACCCTAAGCTTTTGTTTTGATCATTTGAACATTTACCCTAAGGCTTTTGTTTTGAACATTTGAACATTTACCCTAAGGCTTTTGTTTTGAACATTTGAACATTTACCCTAAGGCTTTTGTTTTGAACATTTGAACATTTACCCTAAGGCTTTTGTTTTGAACATTTGAACATTTGCCCTTCTCGATGGAAGACAAATAAACTTCGAGGCCTAAAAATAGATTCGAGAGCGGTGTTGTTCGGTTTAAAGAAGACAGCTCGTAAGGAAAAGGAATGGGGAATAATAGGAATATGAGTCATTTAAACACACGAAAAAACGTATATATACTTGCATAACCCCGCCCATCACACACACACACACACACACACACACACAACACACACACACACACCACACACACACACCACACAGCACGACACACGCACAACGCACACGCACACACGCACAAACACACACACACACACACACACACAACACACACAACACACACACACACACACACACACACACACACACACACACTCTCATTGACAGCAATAGCAAGGATTTGATAATCATTCAAATGCATAATGAGCATCACATAACATTCTGATATAATAATGATGATAATAATAATAATAACAATAATAATAATAATAACAATAACAATAACAATAATAATGATAATAATAATAGCACAACAAACAACAACAACAATAACAATAACAACAACAGCAACAAAACAACAATAATAATAAAATAATATTAATAATATAATGATAATAATAACAATAATAATAATAACAATATATAAAATAATAAAAATAATAATAATAATAATAACAATAATAATAATAATAATAATAATAACAATAACAATAATAATAACAATATCAAAAACAACAACAACAATAATAATAAATCCCAAAACCAAACAGAAAAGTCAAAATAACAAATCATAATATACACAATTTGTCTCGCAACCATCCCTCCCACGACCCACTTTCCGACCTGACTCACCGGTAAGTATAAACACATAGAAGAATATAAAAAAATAAAAAATAAAAAAAAATAGAGAACGGACAGTAAACACGTAGAGTGGATAAAAGCAAAAAAGAAAAAAAAAACAGAGAACGGAAGTAAACAACACATAGAAGATAAAAAAAAAAGAAAAAAGCAACAGAGAACGGACAGTAAACAATACATAGAAGATAAAAAAAAAAAAAGAGAACGGACAGTAAACACGCAGAGAGGATAAAAGCAAAAAAAAAAAAAAAAGACAGAACGGACAGTAATTACATAGTGGATAAAAGCAAAAAAAAAAAAAAAAAAAAAAAAAAAAAAAAAAAAAAAAAAAAACAGAACGGACAGTAAACAACACATAGAAGATAAAAAAAAAAAAAAACAGAGAACGGACAGTAAACACGCAGAGTGGATAAAAGCCATAAATAAGCAAAGCCACGCC